ACCTCCCGGCTGCGGCGCTCAGCACAGGCCTCAAGACCAGGAGCCCACAGGCCGCGGGGCGCCCACGGCGGCTGCAGCGCCTGTCTCTTTAAATACGGGTCCTGGGCTGGCGGCGGCGCGCAGGCGCGACAGCGGAGGGCGGAGCGACGCGGCACGGCCCACCCCCTGGCGCCGGCCACGTGCGACTGGGTCTGGTTCTTCAGTCCGGTTTGGGGTTGGTGCGCGTGCGGGCGCCCGGCCGGCTGAACTTCCGGGGAAATCCCCCTCAATTTCTCTTAATTGTTAGAGATCACCTAGTCTTTAAAGGTGTTGACTGAGAAACTGCGCCGTCATGAGCTTGCGGAACGTTCTGATCGCATCGTAAGACCTGTGTTTTCTAAGTTCCCCTACGTGTCCTGCCCAGTGCGTGACACGTAGCCAGTTTTTAGTGCGTTACTGACTGGAAGAGGCTCAAACGAGGCGATAGGAAGATAGGTGAAGGACCATCGTGGAGAACTAACACCTTGCTTATGTGTTGTTTGAAGTGCCCTCTCTCTTCTAAACCTCAGGTCCTGTTCATGAAAGTTGGGGTTGGTTGTAACAATGCCAAGCTCGAAGAAGGAAAGTGACTGTATTCAGGGTCTAGAAAGGGCAAATAATTGCGCGTGGTTAGGTAAGCAGAGCCAGGCGTGGTGGCGCACGCCTGTAATCCCAGCATTCGGGAGGCTGAGGCAGGACTGTTGCAAGTTCGAGACCAGCCTAGGCTATAAAGTGAGCTCAAGGCCAGCCTGAACTGCATAGCGAGACCCTGTCTCAGAAAAAAAATAAATAAGTAAATAAATAAATAAAACGCATACTGCAACTAATCCCTCTCAACATACTCTTCAATTTGAACATACCTATTCCATTGTTCTTGCCACTTTTTGTTTGTTTGTTTTTTGAGACAGGATCTAGATGTGTAGTTCAGGCTGGCCTTGAACTCACTGAGTAGCCCAGGCTGGCCTTGAACACTCAGTAATCCTCCTGCCTCAGCCTCCTGAGTGCTGGAATTACAGACATGTGCCACCATGCCCAGCTCTTGCCATTTTCTGAAGCTGCTGTAGAAGTCCTCTCTTGTTAGCACCTTTAAAAGGTGTGATCAAAAGTAAGGTGGTGCTGCTATCTAGTGCCGTCCAACAGAAAGACAGCCTCATAAAAGCATAGTGTGTCCTTATACATTTATTCACCAGGTCTGGCACTGAAAGACTTCTCGCTTTTCCCCAAAATGAAATGACCATCAAAGTAAGCGTTTTGAATAGAGTCCATGACAGTGCAGCTAAAGACATTTACGAAAGAGGACTTCCAAAACTGCTTCAGAAAGTGTCAAGAATGATGGGATAAGTGTGCTAGAAGCATGGGGGAGTATTTTGAGGGAGATAAATGGCAATGTGCCTTTTACTGTAACTTTTAAAAGTTTAAACATTTACTGAATGTTTTGTGATCCCAACTGTTATTTCTATGGGACAGCGCTGCCCGTAGATTTAAAACCTAT